TACATTGTGACTTGGATGGAGATTTGTCTCATTGTCACTCATAACACATCTTCTTATTTATATTGTACAATATATAAATAACACATAGCTGAGAGGGTGATAGAGCAGAATGTTACCCAGAGAAAACATTGTCAACTGAGGCGAAGCCAAGGTTGACATTGTCTTTTCGAGGGTTAACAATCTGCTCTATCACCCTCTCAGATATGTGTTATTATACGACCGCAAAAAAATTTTGTGGTCGTATATTGGTATGACGTTGGCGTCGTCGTCGTCGTCGTCGTCCGGCGTCGTCGTCGTCGTCCGGCGTCGTCGTCCGAATACATATTGGTTTTCGCACTCTAACTTTAGTTTAAGTGAATGGATCTTTTTGAAATTTGACCATAAGGTTAAATACCACAAAAGGAAGGTTGGGATTGATTTTGGGGGTTATGGTACCAACAGTTAAGGAATTAGGGGCCAAAAAGGGGCCAAAAATGAGCATTTTCTAGTTTCCAGACAATAACTGTGGAATGGTGTATGGATCTCTCTGAAATTATACTACAAGTTTCCATACCACAAAGGGATGGTTAGGATTTGCTTTGGGGGGTTATGGCTCAAACCGTTTAGGAATTAGGGGCAAAAAAGGGGGAAAAACAAGGTTGTCCTGGTTAATGGACAAATACTTTAGTACAAAACATAATTTAAAGCAGTGTAAGGGAGATAAATCAAATACATCATTGAAATTATCTCCCTTACACTGCTTTTAAATTATGTATAAAGTAATGGTTAATGAACAATAAAGATAATCTAAAACAGTGTAAGGGAGGTAATCCAAATACAACGTTTTAGTTACTTCCCTTACTCTGCTTTTAAATTATGTTTAAAGAAATGCATATTTATAAAGGAAGACCAGTAAAAATATCTGCAAATGTTTTCATCTTTTTTTTTTACAAAAAAATCCATATGAAAGATTTGACACTATATTTTTATTAATTCTATTATAAAATAGATTAAGTTAGCACTATGGTAAATTTAAATGGTTAATTATGGTTGCCAACTCCATTGGAAATTTGAATTGAGATTATGACCATATCTTGAGGGAAAGAATTTTTTTGGGGGAAAAAGGGGGGGGGGGGGATAAAAAGAAATTGTGGGGGCCAATTTTTTCTCATTTCAGATTTCAGAAATTAAAAAGAATTATTCTTCAAATATTATTTTTTTTTCAAATTTCAAATATTGAAAAATTTCAAGAAGTAATCTTTAATTGCACAGTATGGCGCATTAGATTTGTAAAATCTTTGATCACATTTATTTATTTGTTATGCCGAATCTAACAGTGTATTTAGATTTTTAATTTTGGGTCCAGTTTTCAAATTGGTCTACATTAATGTCCAAAGGGTCCAAAATTAAACTTTGTTTGATTTTAGCAAAAATTGAATATATGAGGTTCTTTGATATGCTGAATCTAAACATGTATTTAGATTTTTGATTTTTGGCCCAGTTTTCAAGTTGGTCCAAATTGGGGTCCAAAATTAAACTTTGTTTGATTTCAACAAAAATTGAATATATGGAGTTCTTTGATATGCTGAATCTAACCATGTATTTAGATTTTTTATTTGTGGACCCCGTTATCTAATTGGTTCATATTGAGGTCAAAAGGGTCCAAAATTAAACTTTGTTTGATTTCATCTAAAATTGAATTATTGGGGTTCTTTGATATTCCAAATCTAACCGTGTATTTAGGTTCTTAATTTTGGGTCCTGTTTTTTAAATTGGTCTACATTGAGGTCCAAAGGGTCCAAAATTAAACTTAGTTTGATTTTAACAAAAATTGAATTCTTGGGGTTCTTTGATTTGCTGAATCTAAACATGTGTTTAGATTTTTGATTATGGGCCCAGTTTTCAAGTTGGTCCAAGATAGGGTCCAGTATTTAAACTTTGTTTGATTTCAACAAAAATTGAATATATGGGGTTCTTTGATATGCTGAATCTAAACATGTATTTAGATTTTTGATTATGGGCCCAGTTTTCAAGTTGGTCCAAATTGGGGTCCAAAATTAAACTTTGTATGATTTCAACAAAAATTGAATATATGATGTTCTTTGATATGCTGAATCTAACCATGTATTTAGATTTTTTATTTGTAGGCCCCGCTATCAAATTGGTTCATATTGAGGTCAAAAGGGTCCAAAATTAAACTTTGTTTGATTTCATCGAAAAATGAATTATTGGGGTTCTTTGATATGCCAAATCTAACCGTGTTTTTAGATTTTTAATTTGGGTCCTGTTTTTTAAATTGGTCTTCATTGAGGCCCAAAGGGTCCAAAATTAAACTTAGTTTGATTTTAACAAAAATTGAATTCTTGGGGTTCTTTGATATGCTGAATCTAAACATGTATTTAGATTTTTGATTATGGGCCCAGTTTTCAAGTTGGTCCAAGTTGGGGTCCAAAATTAAACTTTTTTTGATTTCAACAAAAATTGAATATATGGGGTTCTTTGATATGCTGAATCTAACCATGAATTTAGAATTTTTATTTGTGGGCCCCGCTATCAAATTGGTTCATATTGAGGTCAAAAGGGTCAAAAATTAAACTTTGTTTGATTTCATCAAAAATTGAATTATTGGGGTTCTTTGATATTCCAAATCTAATCGTGTATTTAGATTTTTAATTTTAAGTCCCGTTTTTTAAATTGGTCTACATTATAGTCCAAAGGGTCCAAAATTAAACTTAGTTTGATTTTAGCAAAAATTGAATTCTTGGGGTTCTTTGATATGCTGAATCTAAACATGTGTTTAGATTTTTGATTATGGGCCCAGTTTTCAAGTTTGTCCAAGTTGGGGTCCAAAATTAAACTTTGTTTGATTTTAAAAAAAATTGAATATATGGTGTTCTTTGATATGCTGAATCTTACCATGTATTTTGATTTTGGACATTGGACCATAATAGGTAAATTAAAAAAATTCAAGTTCTTAGACCACATTCTTTCTGTGTCAGAAACCTATGCTGTGTCAAATATTTAATAACAATCCAAATTCAGAGCTGTATCAAGCTTGAATGTTGTGTCCATACTTGCCCCAACTGTTCAGGGTTCGACCTCTGCGGTCGTATCAAGCTGCGCCCCAGCGAAGCATTTTATTTAATTTATTATACTGAATGTTCTGTTATTACTGTCTATTAAATTTCAAATTCAAAGTATAAACTATGTAGTCTTGTACATAACAATCATCTGTTTTTATTAAAGCGCACACTTGAGCAAGCTTCTCCGTGAAGGGTAATAGAGTATTTGCCATGGGATAAAGTAAATCGTCTCCCTTGTATTAACCAATCAAAATCTGGCATTTTGACATGAAGTATAATAATATATAATATCCCATGTAATGTATATAACAAAAACATGAGTATAAATTCTCCAAGATTATTGCTTTCCCTGTTGTCTGACTTTTAATGATTGGTAACAAATTCTCACTAATGAAAGTATTCTATAGAATATTAGATTTTTTACATGTCATACATCTTTCCACAATACCCAGTTATTGAAGATTATTATAGAACACTGATGCAATTCTCAGAGCCATTTAAGTGTCTTGTGACCTCTGGTAACAGAGATTTAATTGACATTACCAGTACACAAAAGAATAAGGGGTCAATACCTCATTGGTTAATGTCATGAATGTTCATTGAACTTTGTATTGATTCTTGTCCAATGTTCAATAATATTGAAGGAAAGATAACTTCAGAGAAATTTGTTAACATATCAGGTTGATGATCATACACTTAGTTTGAGGGTATCTTGCAGGGACCAGTTTTCTAAGGTTTACAGATGCTTCCAGTAATTGAGAAATTTTAGTATTAACCAGATATATAACATCAGCTGAAATACTAGATTAAGGCATTAAACAATTATTGAGGGAGTTGGTCCCTGATTTTAGCCAGTACACACAGCATTATTTCAGAAGAGCGAAAATTACCCATGGCCAGGCATGCCAGGTTGTGGACACAAAGATAATAATATATTTAAGAATAATGAAGGATATCTCATAACTTTATTTCAGATAGAAAGAAAAGCATATCAGTTGTGTACATAATTATGTATTTCTGATGAATGAAAGAATTCAGGTTTCATATAAATTATTTTATTTTATAAGAATGAGAGGTGAAAGTTGTGTACAAATAGCTTTATTTCAGTATCAAGGAAAGTATCTAGTTGTGTAAAAATAACTGCAGATCAGAAGAAAGCTGCATTTTGCAGTAAAAAAAGGAAGAGTTAAAACTGTTTGCAATAAATAGCCAAAAAATTAAGATCAGCTAACAGCAATATGAAAATTTTGGGAAATTTAGCTTGTTTTGTGTTTAACTGCACCATGGTATTCATGTAAGACATACTAGGGGAAAATTATACATGGTACTCTATGATACAAGGAAATTTTGTTATTCCATTGACAAGTTAAGTGCAAACTGCTTTGGTGTAACTCTTTTATACAATTGTTCTGTATTCCCAAAGGAAGTATGATATAAAGAACCTTTTACACAAATGTAAAATATTGGCATCCAAAAGTAAACCTACTTGCACAGGTGTAAGTGTAAAGTGCAGTTAATATATATATCGTATTATCTTGATAAATAATAATATATTGTGAGGTTATGATATGAAAGTATCCCTACCTATTTTTCCCAGACGATTATTTATTTTTATTCAAATTTGAGTTTTTCTGGTATCCATAGCAACTCATATGGAATTGGGTCATAAAATGATGATAGTAGTGCACTTGTTTTACAATGTTTTGATTAGGGTAATATTGTAATGACTGTACAATCACTGTACTCACAATGGACCAAGGAATTTGATAGGAAGATAACAAAGGATGCAGACTTTGAACAGTTCCACTTGTTCTGTATTATGTAGACAAGATTGTAAGACATATGGTTACAGAGATGTTGATACATGATGCCAATAGTAAGGGAATGGATTTACCATATGTTTAGCTATGTCAGTCAGTTTATCTATTTTCTTTGCAGACTTGTGTTTGGTACATTGTACCCAGCTTATGCCAGCTATAAAGCTATACGAACCAGAAATGCCAAAGAATATGTGAGTACTACAGATATCAATGCATTTAAGGAATATACATCAGCAACTTAAAAAGATGAGCGAATAAAAGTTAAATGTAATTAAATCAACAAATAAAATGAAAGAAGAAGGATATTCTGTGGTTTATATGTTATATTAGTTAGATGTTTTCATGTATATAAGAAAAACAGATCATTATGTATTTTTGATGCTTAAGACCTGTAATTTGATTACCTTAGCTGTATTTGGCAAAACTTTTAGGAATTTTTGGTCCTCAATGCTCTTCAACTTCGTACTTTATTTGGCCTTTTTAATTTTTTTTTATTCGAGCGTCACTGAGTATTTTTTTGTAAACGAAACGCTCTTCTGGCGCAAATACAAAATTTCAATCCTGGTATCTATGATGAGTTTATTTAGACCTGTAATTTGGTTATACACAGCAAATAAACTTAAAAAAGTTATACAAAACAACTTGAATAAAATGAACACATAAAAATACAACTGCAGTATTAATACAAATTATTTATTCATGTACTTTTCTATAGGTTGTCAACATCTTATATATTTAAATGGTAGATTAAGTTCATCATACACTAGAACAAAATCACAGGGAAACCTTTATACATTTTTTTTTTATAATTGATACTTATTGATACTTATTTTGTCACAATTTAGATATTCATGAAACTTTTGGAGCTTTTAAACCCAAAGAATGTCAAAAGAACTAAAATGGATATGGTGTAGATTATTAAAGAAGAAATGAGATTCAACACGAAAATCACTAATCATGAAGAAGTTCTAAAACATTATAAAATCTAAATATCAACATGTTTCAGTTTTTCACACTTGTACATTTACCTATATTTTCTTTTCTTTTTTTCATTTTTAGGCCAAATGGATGATGTATTGGGTTGTGTTTGCATTTTTCTCATGTGCTGAAACATTCTCTGATGTCTTCCTGTCATGGTAAAAATATTTTATGGTGCAATTTTATCCCTTCAGTTCTCAGATAATTCAAACTATGACAATAGGTCAAAACAGTTACATGCAAATTACCATAATTTTATAAATTATGAAATATTATATGAAATAATTTAGAAACTGCACTGATTCATTAAATGAATCATATTTTTTTTAATTTCCTGAATGTAGCAGGCAACCTCTACATGCTTTTGGTATTCCATAGTACTAGTATATAGAGAAACTCTGCATGTTTAGATGTTTTCCTTGAGCAGCAGGTATGAGAAATATAGTAAATATCCAGTGCAAATTCTCTCTGAAACTTAAATTAAAAATGTATATCCCATTGTACAGTCTGTAAAAATTCATGTATCATATAGTTTTCCATCATAAACAAACTCTTTCTAAACAAAGAAAAGAACTCTCTGTTCCTGGTATTGGTCTTGTGTACTTTATCTCTAACGTTGTTTACAAGGTAAGCAAACATGCTTTGTTTCAAGGGTGTGTTAAAAATATGATTGCATAATTAAAATAAAAAGACTGGAGATGGTGATCTGTTTTAGGATGTCAAGAAAACTGCTCTCTGGCAATATTATATAGCCGGTCTAAAGTCAGATTTTTGGATGACTTGATAAACTTATTGTCCAATCAGGAGCTGACATTGTGAATTTTTTGTGATAAAAAGAACAAGAAAAGTATGCTATGAAAGTGGCAATGGCCTTATAAAGTTTTATATTTTATAAGATTTTTAAAAGAGTTTGAAACATTTATAGATGCTGTAGATTCTTCAATGTCTGAATTTTCTGTTTGGATTATGTAAGATGTGCTTGATCTCATTTTAGAAATTAAAAGAGCTTGTTTTATTATTTTGTTACATGTCTGAAGTGTCCTATTGTCAGTTTTCATGATGGAGTGACCGTATTGTTTCTAAGAAGTTTTAACACCCAAGATGCAATGGCAGTTTTTCTTTAGATGCTTTACTAGAGCCCATATCGGTCTTAAACATGATACAAAACCTTGACCTCATATTCACGGTTGACTATTTCCCCTAAAATATGTTAAGTTTATATGATAGGATGAGTTTCTCAGTAACAATGAGTAACTACAGATAAATGGTGACTATATCCCTTCACTTGATTGTTTGTGTTCCCTGACAGCTTGGCAACACATTAGGATCACTTCTGACATCTTGTGTCCATATTACAACATTTTAATCTGCAACTTTTTGAAAGTAGCTTGATAGAATTCAGCCAGACTTTAACAGATTCTTTTACAGGACTTGAAAGTAAGCATTTTCTATTTCAATGTTTGATCTGTGTGATTTTTGGGGTTCGGCATACTAATACATGGACTTTGCAATTCATGCCATTATTTAGCGATGGCAGACAAACACATGGATAAGGTGAAGTTGTGTTATATGTCAATGCGACAGCAACCAAACAACAAAACCTGAAAATACATCTAGAGTTCAACAAAGGGTCTTAAACATAGAGATGTATCTCTAAATTGAAGTCTTATACCATGTGTCGTGCACTGAGTCCTAAATTAAGGGATCACCAGACTTCACCTTAATTTAGAGATATGCTGAGGCGAAAAAGTTGCTTTCCTGTCCGTCACTTCGCTTTTTCTTTTTGATATAAAAAAGTTCTTTTTAGTGCTAGATATTTAGTTGGTAGATTCTGACGAGAGGATTAATATTATCCTGCAACTATAAATGACTATTTAAGACATAAACTGAAACAACTGTTACTTTAATTGACTCTGGTATGAATTGAACACCTATACAAAAAAAGGATACATATGGGCCTTTATGTTATAGTAAAAACCAAATATTGTAGCGCCGCGAGCGAACGAGCACTTCTCTTTCAAATCTCACCACTTCTCCCTACCAGTTTCAAAAAGAGAAGTCACTTCTCCCTATGATTTTGAAGTAGTGTGAGCCTTGGATATATTGTTGCATAAAATTTTTTAAAAATTGAGACAGAGAATAGAATTAGTACCTGAAAAAGGATCATTATTGCTATTTTCTATAATATCAATATTTCTGTTTTCAGGATGCCATTTTACTATGAAATAAAAATTATATTTGTGATATGGCTTCTGTCACCAATGACAAAAGGATCCAGCTTTTTATTCAAGAAATTTGTCCATCCACAGCTCAAAAAGAGAGAAAAGGTTTGCAACATAATTATTTGTTTGTTTTAAGAATTAGATCTGTGAGCTTGCTCATTTGCAAAATCAACAAACTATGCCATTGTACAACCTTTCAAAATCAATGTTAATTTCAATGTATTGAACAGAAGGAATTTAGGGACTCAGTTCATCTGTATATTGTGGTAGTCAGAGCTAATGGTTGTCTTTAAATATTAGAAAATAATAACACTTGATATCAAGTTCTCCTTACCTTAATACTTTGTTAAAAGAAAAGTGAACATATCAAGATATTCAGACTGATATTTAAGTTAATGGCATTGTCAGTGTTTGACTGCCAGAAATCCAAAAGGGAGATCCAAATTAGTCTCTTGCAAACTACAACTCAAGTTGCCCTGAATTGAAAAAAACCTTCAGATACCAAATACTGTAAATTCAGAAACTATTGCAATGTTTTTATTATTGCTAAAAATGCGACAGGGTTATAATCGCAATAATTTAAACTCGCATTTTGAAAATTTGTTTATGAATTAAACAGGTTTTTTTCTCAATATCGCAAAAATTTAAATCGCATTTTCGTCTTAAATGACAAAATCGCAATAATAAATGCACGCAATATTTTCTGAATTTACAGTACCATGTACATGTTATTAAGATGTATTACATGTGTATGATAACACAAAACAATTAAAAATCACGGTAATATGAAGTAAAAAGTTACCAATGGAGCAAGCAAACAAATTATCAAAGGACAGACACCTATGTGGTCAAAAATAAACAGAAAAAGGGCAACAATGCACGTAACCAGGGGTGTGGAAATGTTATGCCCGACTTGCCCGACTTGTACATTTGACCGACCGGACAAGCAATGTTTTGTGTCTTTGTTGTCCATGGACAAGTAAAAAAATGTTGCTTGACAAGGTTAATTTATATAACCATGTAGAAAAGTCCTCAAAATTTATTCATCAAAGTAGACAAAATATCAAATAACAAGATGAAAGCAACATGTTTAAGTAAAACAACATCAATGTTCAAGAAATAAATCGATTATCAAACAACAAAAATTAAGTATGCGAACCAGGGTCTCATTAATATTCTGCGATTTTTTTCCCATTGATCCGGGATCGTCCATCAGGTTATAGCAGCAATACACCAGAAAAGGTCATTATTAATTTCGAGCTCTGATTTCTCAAGAATGATAACTAAATGACCAGTTGAGTTGGATAAGCATCTTTAGATAGGTCATAGCTCACAGTGAAGAAAATATAAGTCATCATATAATTTCCCAGTTTCATGTAAGCTAGCATCGAAAAAACATTGCAAAATTGGCCTCTAGATTCTTTAGTTTAAAGTTGTTTTTTTTTTATTGGATTCTTTTTCATTGGTGTATACTCTACTTATCTTTTTATCATTCTGACATACAAACAAACATCATGAATACCATTTTCATTGTGTTTCAAAACTGTTTTAGAAACATACACGTTTACAGTAAAATACATCTTCTTCATTCCAAAATTCATTAAGAAATCAGGGCAAGTAACTTTTCCCCAGGACAAGTAAAATTTACAATTTCAATTGCCCGGGGACAAGTGGTCACAACAAATATTTACACACCCCTGACGTAACACTACACAGCATCAAAGCAACACCAGGTTGTGGTTTCAGTTGTATAGATATGTTAAAACTGGATAACACCTAGTAATAGGCAATGCTGAAATGGAAAAATATATGGTGTTTTTTTTATTAATACTGACAAATTTCTTCAGTTCAAGTCTCTTGCAACAAGAACTCACTATAAGCATGATAAGTATTTCATCAGACTTAGATTGGTACCATCAATAATTAACATTTAGTGGGATTAAACTAGTATATTTAGTACTAAAACTGCCATTTTTTTTATCTTGGTCAGTTAATAAAAGATACATGGAAATGTGCACAGTAATAATCAGAGCAAAACAGTACCTAAGTTAGTATGAATATTAGTGTCATAGACTGCAATTGCTCAGTTTCAAGTAAAACAATTAACAGAAAATGATTTTTCAAATTTCTTACTGTGAATAGGCTCAAAGTAATTTATCTGCTGATATAAAAAATGTGCTTTCACAAGTTTTTAAATTAGTTGATTTTTTTAATTTTCAGGACATTGATGAGTATATATCACAAGCTAGGACAAAGGGATATAGTGCAATACTTAGTCTAGGACACAGGGGTCTGAAATATTGTACAAACGTTGTTGTTAGAACTGCAATAAAGGTATGTGGTCTAAATGGTCATTAAAATTGAAGTAAATGTCTGTAGTCCTGCCAGCATTGTAATGTCTGAAGTTTTGTACAAATGTGGTGGTTAGAAATGCAGTATTTAGTCCTGCTTGTCTGGACATCCAGGTCTGAAATGTACAAAAGACAACTGAATTAAAGATACATAGACCTGCCTTTTTTAAATACATTAAAATCTATACTATATTTACAGTCTTTAATTTTAATGATTGCAATAAAGGTATCTTTAAACATACCAAGTCCTTACAGCAAAAAAGTTTGCAAAAGGACATCAAAAGTATAAAATATTTACAGATATGATTTTTAGAACTGCATAAAACCATGTATTCCTATTATTAGAACAGTGAGGTCTGAAACAGTACTGTATTTAATGAGATGCCACCGTCAATTGGGGATTTGATGTTCAAAAATGCAGATTTACTGGCAACGCGGAGCTAGTAAAACAGATGTTAGTGATTGTCAAATCCAAAATTGACACGGGCAACTCTTTAAATACAAAACTGTTATTCCTATGTTAATGCAATACTCTTTAAATGTTCAACATTAGACATTTTCAAATATCCGGTAAACATCAACTGCGAATGCATTCTTGCCAATGAATCAGACTGTCAACTCTTGAACTGATTGCAGACATCATCCAATCAAAACTATCGTTACATGCCAAATTGCATTAGAATTTTGAATTGACATTTAGATGAACAATGATTAAGTATGTCAGTAGTAGTTTTATTGTTTCAAACTTAAAGAATATGGCTTCTAAGGCTTGATGTGTGTCATCTGTCACATTTCGTTTGAAAAATTATTACTTGACATTTTTAAAAGTTTTGAGATATATACCAAGTCCTCTTATCAAATGAAAACTATTTATGGAAACCAGTTTAGTTTTATACCTGTTCCTTGCTCTACACATATTTTTTTGGTACATATGTTAGGGACAGTCAACTTTAACTGAGCATGTCAGAAAGAGCTACAGTACCAATGATCTAAGGGTACCAGATGATTCGTCAGATCAGATGGATAGTAGTATATCATATATTGATGATGATGAAGATGAACTCGGTATGTATCTTTTTGAACAAATATAGACCTTTAAAAAATGTCAATAGTCTTTGAAGTGATTTTGCTTAGTATTTTCTTTTCATGAAAATGGCTTTTGTTAAGTTTATATCCCTGCAAAATTTCAGAATAAAAAATTATGCAAGTGATCTGTTTTTAGCTCACCTGACCTGAAAGGTCAAGTGAGCTTTTCTCATCACTTTGCGTCCGTCGTCCGTCGTCCTGCGTCCGTCGTCCTGCGTCCGTCGTCCGTCGTCCGTAAACTTTTACAAAAATCTTCTCCTCTGAAACTACTGGGCCAAATTTAACCAAACTTGGCCACAATCATCATTGGGGTATCTAGTTTTAAAAATGTGTGGCGTGACCCGGTCAACCAACCAAGATGGCCGCCACGGCTAAAAATAGAACATAGGGGTAAAATGCAGTTTTTAGCTTATAACTCAAAAACCAAAGCATTAAGAGCAAATCTGACATGGGGTAAAATTGTTCATCAGGTCAAGTTCTATCTGCCCTGAAATTTTCAGATGAATCGGACAACCCGTTATTGGGTTGCTGCCCCTGAATTGGTAATTTTAAGGAAATTTTGCTGTTTTTGGTTATTATCTTGAATATTATTATAGATAGAGATAAACTGTAAACAGCAATAATGTTCAGCAAAGTAAGATTTACAAATAAGTCAACATAACCGAAATGGTCAGTTGACCCCTTTAGGAGTAATTGCCCTTTATAGTCAATTTTTAACCATTTTTCGTAAATCTTAGTAATCTTTTACAAAAATCTTCTCCTCTGAAACAACTGGGCCAAATTAAACCAAACTTGGCCACAATCATCATTGGGGTATCTAGTTTAAAAAATGTGTGGCGTGAACCGGCCAACCAACCAAGCAGGCCGCCACAGCTAAAAATAAAACATAGGGGTAAAATGCAGTTTTTGGCTTTTAACTCAAAAACCAAAGCATTTAAAGCAAATCTGACATGAAGTAAAATTGTTTATCAGGTCAAGATCTATCTGCCCTGAAATTTTCAGATGAATCGGACAACCCGTTATTGGGTTGCTGCCCCTGTATTGGTAATTTTAAGGAAATTTTGCTGTTTTTGGTTATTATCTTGAATATTAATATAGATAGAGATAAACTGTAAACAGTAATAATGTTCAGCAAAGTAAGATTTACAAATAAGTCAATATAACCGAAATGGTCAGTTGACCCCTTTAGGAGTAATTGCCCTTTATAGTCAATTTTTAACCATTTTTCGTAAATCTTAGTAATCTTTTACAAAAATCTTCTCCTCTGAAACAACTGGGCCAAATTAAACCAAACTTGGCCACAATCATCATTTGGTTATCTAGTTTTGAAAATGTGTGGCGTGACCTGGTCAACCAACCAAGATGGCCGCCACGGCTAAAAATAGAACATAGGGGTAAAATTCAGTTTTTGGCTTTTAACTCAAAAACCAAATCATTTAAAGCAAATCTGACATGAAGTAAAATTGTTTATCAGGTCAAGATCTATCTGCCCTGAAATTTTCAGATGAATCGGACAACCCGTTGTTGGGTTGCTGCCCCTGAATTGGTAATTTTAAGGTGATTTTGCTGTTTTTGGTTATTATCTTGAATATTATTATAGATAGAGATAAACTGTAAAAAACAATAAATGTCGGCAAAGTAATATCTACAAATAAGTCAACATGACCGAAATTGTCAGTTGACCCCTTTAGGAGTTATTGCCCTTTATAGTCAATTTTTAACCATTTTTTCGTAAATCTTAGTAATCTTTTACAAAAATCTTCTCCTCTGAAACTACTGGGCCAAGTTAATTATAGATAGAGATAATTGTAAGCAGGAAAAATGTTCAGTAAATTAAGATGTACAAACACATCACCATCACCAAAACACAATTTTGTCATGAATCCATCTGCAACCTTTGTTTAATATTCACATAGACCAAGGTGAGCGACACAGGCTCTTTAGAGCCTCTAGTTAATGATATGAGATACTGACAGAATGATAAATTTCATGCAACTAATGACAAAACATTTATTTGACAATACATATAAAAAAGTTGAGAGCACATTTAAAAAAAAAAACATCAAAAATATCAAGAATTGATAGTATCAAATGATCATAGTCTTTTTTTCAAGTATTGTGTTACTAAACCATAATTTTTTGCTGCTGACTTGAAGCTAAGAATAAGCGTGACCTTGAAGTAATAAATGAGGAATTATCAGATGATGAAAAGTCTAATTATAAGAAAAAGAAAGGTGAGAGTGCAATCCAAGCTTTCCAGCACTGGGGTTTACAACAAATACACTTTCAGATCCTTCTTTCACCTTGGGTTCATTTGTCTTTAGTTCAACCCTATTACATTGGTATCCATGCCTCTAAATCTTTTCATTGATAAAACATCATGGTTTGTGCATATTATCATGATTATTAAGTTCTTTATGCTAATACTAATGATTTTACCCTTGCATGATTATAATAATGGTATATATTGTGCTTTCTTGCATGTTTTGGATTTTTAACAGTAGGATATATTAAGGCTAGTAGCAAAATTAATCGTAAGTTAGACTAGAATATTCATAACTTATGAGTATTTTTTATCTTAAGATTTTTTGTGAAATGATCACAGGATTGTGGTATGATTCTATAATTACACAAGTTACTCTGTCCAGTGGTAAGTCTGATATCCTGGATTTTTAAACAATAAAACAAGATGCATCATTTTAATTTTAGAGTATTTGATATCCACAGTGAATTATGTTTTTAAAAAAATAAACACTCACAAAAAAGGAAGGACCTTGTTTTATTAGATGGAAATGCTTAAATAGGATGATGATATATAATACATCATTAGATTAGGTAGACCCATATTTTGTTTGGAGCTGTTTTTTTTTCAATGTACTGTGGATTCAGTATCATTCTAGTATTAATTTGTTGATAGCACATAGCCATGAAGTGTTCAAGATACTCTTTAGATTCTTTCTTCTGGTACAAACAGGAGCTTGAATTGTATTGTATATTTTTGTCCTCAATAATTATACTAAATAAAAGAAATATTGATGATATCAACATACACAAGTACAGGGTTTTTTATGCCCCACCTACGATAGTAGAAGGGCATTATGTATTTCTGTCTGTGCGTCCGTTCGTTCATCCGTTCGTCCGTCTGTCCCGCTTCATGTTAAAGTTTTTGGTCAAGGTAGTTTTTGATGAAGTTGAAGTCCAATCAACTTGAAACTTAGTACACATGTTCCCTATGATATGATCTTTCTAATTTAAATGCCAAATTAGAGTTTTGACCCCAATTTCATAGTCCACTGAACATAGAAAGTGAAAGTGCTAGTGGGGCATCCGTGTACTATGGACACATTCTTGTTTAAATTATGATGCATCATTTGGAAATATTTGAAATTTCTTATCTTAATTCTAGCTCCATGTAGAATGTTTACTTTCATTATAAATCACATTTTGAGTTTAGAAGGACAAAGAAAACAAAACTTCTAAAATGACTAAATCGACAGTACATGTGTTTTATCTAATTGTAGAGTTTATATATATCCATATATAATAAAATGTATACATACAGTTAACTATCGTTAAACTTGGTTAACTCAAAATTCTCATGAGTTGAAATATTTCTCCAGTCCAGACGTCTAAATACAGCAATTTATATAAATTTGCTCTGTTTGAGTAGAATTTCAACGAGTAGAATTTTCAAACTAAATCTGCGGCTTGAAAGTATAAATTTGGTTGTTATGTCAGAATGTTTCACTCTTGTCATATGCATAATGATATGCTTGGGCTAGAACAAAACAAGTAGCGGTAAAACACACTGTATTTTTCGTTTCAAAGCCAAACTTCAAAGAAATAATTAAAATTCATAATTGAAAAAATCTACATTTATTTTCAAACACTATCTCTAATGAAAAGTGTGAACAATCAAAGACAATAGTACAAACTGTGATTAGAATACTGTATTGCATTGTCTAAATTAGAGTTGTCTCCTTTTCATTATAGTCACTTAAGCTTCTATTGAGTCTTACTTGGTTGACAAATTTAATCACTGTCCTGTTGACTTAGAGATAATGAGAGAAGACAGTATTTGTGTTATGTTGTGGTTAACAATTACTTTCCTATTTGAATTTTCCTTGGAGTTCAGTTTTTTTGTGATTTTACTTTTTACATGCATAATATATTGTGTATTTACTATGGGTGTCTCAAATAAAACAAATACTAGTGGGTTACTTGACTCTCTTCAATATCAGTGATACCACCAAGTATGGATAACATCACCATCTACAGATAGAAATCCCTATAGCCTAATAAAAATTAAGACAAAGCTATGGAAACAGTAAAATTGAAAATTGAATATTTAAATAAAGGTAATTCATATAAGGATGAGAATCTATAAATTAATTTGTGGTGACTTAAAAAATTAAGTAAACAAATGGAAAATTAATTGTTGCACAGTCTTTCAAAGTTAGATGTAAAGAACAAATACAAATAAAATGTAATGCAAGCTACAATCTAAATCTAATATCCATGTACATGTTAGTATAATCTAATTCATCTAAACATGTACAAACTTAAAACTGTTAAATGGGAGCATGATCAGTAAGGACCCCTGCAAACTAAATACACAATTTGGTTGAAAACTTAACATTGAATTTAATGCAGCAATTATAAGGAAATTCCTTGGTATGCAAGCTTTTAAATGTTTTAAGAAATTTTTTTAATTCATTTAAGAAATAATGAATATATATTTTCAGATTCCCGGTTATATGAAGACAATAGAGAATTGGAGAAAAGAAAAAAACTCATCAGCAGAAGTAACAGTGATCTTACTGATGTAAGGCGTGGCAATCTAAGATCTCAAAAGGAAGGTATGTAAAAAAATAAGACATATATAAGTTGAAAGAAAACATACTGATAGTGTCCTTCATATCAACATTGTGCATATAAGAACAATCTGATGTGTTTGCCTTATGATGGGACTTAGTTGGTTTTATCCTTGGATAAGTCATACCAAAGATTATGAGTTAGATGTCATACCTAAGATTATGAGTTAGATATCTCCTACATTTCCCCCCGAGGCATTTGATGTATAGGAGTAAAAGAAAAGATTGGTAGTCTTGGAATTGGAATAATGTGTACAGATAGGATTTCATGTCTTCCTGAAGTTTATTACCTTGTGAATTAGAATATTAAAAATTTAGCAAAGAATATTGGTCTCTTTGGATTCCTCATCAACATATGGATTAAGGATTTTTAAAATAAATTCATTAAAGAATCAGGATGAGGCCTTTTTATACAACCACAAAAATTTTGCGGTCGTATATTGGTATCACGTCGTCAGCTTCGGACGAAGATATTTGGTTTCCGGACAATAACTTTAGTAAATGTAAATAGAAATCTATGAAATTTAAACACAAGGTTTATAACCACAAAAGGAAGGTTGGGATTGATTTGGGGGGTTATAGTCCTAACAGTTTAGGAATAAGGGTCCAAAAAGGGGCCCAAATAAGCATTTTTCTAGTTTCCAGACAATAACTTGTGGAACGGTGTATGGATCGCTCTGAAATTATACCAGAAGTTTCCATACCACAAAGGGATGGTTAGGATTGGCTTTTTGGGGGTTATGGCTCAAACCGTTGAGGAATTAGGGGCAAAAAAGGGGGAAAAACAAGGGTTTCCTGGTTAATGGACAATTAAAAAAAAAGTACAATGTTATGTTTGGATTACCTCCCTTACACTGCTTTTAAATTATGCATAAAGAAATGTTGTATTGTCTTGAGGTGATTAGCTGTCAATTTATTTTTAGAAGTTACTATTTAAAAATGCTGATAAAGGAATATTAATTTTAGCCATGATTATGTATATGTCATTTTCTATTTTAAAACTTTTATGTGGTATTTAAATGGGTAATTATGGTTGCAAACTCCATTGGAAATTTGAATTGAGGTTATGACCATATCTTGAGGGAAAGAATTTTTTTTTTTGAAAAAAAGGGGGGGGGGGAAGTGAAAAAGAAATTGGAGGGGGGGAGGGGGGGTAAAAAAGTTATGCTGCTACACAGATCTACAATTTGGCAAAGTTGAACTCCTCACATTTTTGTAGAAAATAATTAAGTGTTTTTTTTAATTGGACTTTCTTTCAGCACCATTGGCCAGCTTAAATGAGGAAGATGAAGAAATAATCTACTCAGAAGAAACTTACTACCTTCCTACCAATAACAAAAGAGATGTAAGTCTACTAATTTAAAGGGCATGTAAAGTTTTTCAGTGATAACTATTTATTACAACAGAATGGTTACAATATTCAGGAAACAATTTTACATCTGTATATAAAGCTTTTAGAAAAAGGCATTAAGTCTACATTACAAATATTTGCCACAGACAATTGTCTCGACAGGAAAACTAAATGTAAACTCAACACAAGTGAATGGAATGTATACACATTTATACTTTCCCATTGCCCAATGATGTATCATGCTTAGTGATGGATGATTGATTGTTGGTTGCTTAACGTCCAGTGGCATAGTGATGGATGAAGGTCCACACTAAAAATAGTTATTATTTATTCAAATGATAAAGTAGGAAAAAATGGGTGAGGGAGATTAACTATCATTTATGACAACTCCATTTGTTTATTTCTTATGTACGGTATTTGTTAATACTTTCAAACAAAGATTGCAAAAGTAGCAAGAAAGGTACTTTACAACCTAAAACAATTTCAGACAGAAAAATATACAGCTATAATACCAGAAAAATTGTACATGTAAAACATCTGGCAGATGTAAACTACAGGGAAATATAATACAGTACTCATTGCTTTTTCTAATTGAACATTTCATGTACATAATTAATTGGCAATCAAAATTTAGTAGAATGACTAATGCTGATGTCAATATGATTTTAAATATCACAGTTAATGTATCATACCGTTTTGATTCTATTTTTATATTGAAAGATGTATTTTCAAAATTATCCCCTGAATTATGCATCAGTGTTTGGTTCCCTGGGTAGATTTATACTGGTTATGATAATCAGTAATTTGACCTACCATCACTGGAAAGGAGAAGGTATGATAAGGCCACTTTTTTGGCCTCTTGAATTCAATACACCAAAAAATATTATAAATCAACCAAATAACATCCTCCAAATGTTCATAAGACATAATAGTGTTTCGCACATCTGTATTTACATGTTTGAATTTTGTCTTACATATTGGCATTGGGGCTTCAAACCTAAACTGATCAGATGAAAATGTTATTTCAACCAAAACAGTAAACAGCATCAATTTTTCATTAACTGCTTATTCTGTATATGATGAAATTAATTTATTATTTGTAGTATAGAGCTGACCCATATGGTACTTTACCTAGGACAAGAGCTAAAACAAGAGGGAAGATTAACCAATGATAATACAATACTGCTCAATATCATCAGATAATGTTCTACAGACACATCACATTGACTGACCAGTTTTCTGATAGTGTGTCATGATAATAATTTACTGCTGTACATAATGTTTTAATCTTAACTTAAATTCTTAATCATTGTAAAAGTGTTTCTTGCTAAAAATAATTTTAAGACTGTGTCTATAATGTTACCAATGTACTTTAAGGTTATTCATTCCTTTCATGGATTTTGTACATTTTCGTATAATTTCGTAGAAAGAAAGAAAAGCAGTTGCGTGGATAGTGAAGTTCTGTCCCAAAATAAATAGGAATTCTAGAAGTCAAATTTCCTCATGGCTCTGTACAAAGTCCTAGAGGGTAATAAAACTTAATTTCAAGAAAGTTTATGGAGCTATTACATATGTATCTCATTTTAATTTTACGTATACATGTCTAGGACAACCTGTAGATTACAAGGTTGTAAGCAGGTTCAGATATTTTTCAAACAACGAAAGTAGTGAATAGCTGCATTTGAACCTTGAATTCTGTTAATAGTTGTCTGTGGTAGAAGTAAAATGAGATCTCTACTAATTGTAAATTGAATATCATAAGTTAGTATTTCAGTGTAATTTGAAAGTCCCATCAAGTTCTACAAGGTTCAAATTTTGTACTGGTTAGATTGTGTATAGAGATATTTTGGTATTTGTTTTTGTGAGAAAGGTTTGAATGTTCATACAAAAGTTAGATTATTGATATTTATTACAACACAGATATTAAATATTTGTTATATAATAATGTCATAGATAAAGAATTAAAGACAAGTGTGCAGTTCTTTCCTGTCAATAATTACAGCCCTTGAATTTAGACATTTGATGCAACTTTCAGTTTTCCTAAAATGAATTATTGTGCCTGATTATTGAACTGATTTTTGGATTGTAGTTAGCATGATGATGAATTAAGCTTGGTTGACCTTTTACTTTTGATGCAATGACTAGAAAATGTTATGACTTATCTTTTTCCTTAATTATTTTTTCGATTTCTGCAGATATTGATCTGAATGTTGGTATGCATAATTGAATAGATTTTGACAGAAAAATAAGTCTTGTTCCAATCTTTGCTACAGACAGGGGCATTTGTCTCATACAGACATATTATTTTTGCAATTAAGTTTTAAATACAAATGATTGACTATTTTTGGTTTCAGATGCAACATTTCTAAGGTCAATCATTCAGTTGTATTTTGTTGAAAAGATATATATAGCCATACATTTATATATTAGTTGTGATTTGTAATATGTTAAACAATTCCAGGGTTAGTGGTTATAACATAATGTTGTATTGTACTTAACTATACCTATTATTATTTTCTTTGATGTTATCACTGATGGAAAGCTTAGGACAGTCATCACAAGATTATTAATTTCCTGAAGGAAAAGTAAAGAGAATTTTAAATGGGCATTGTATATGTATTGGCTTTTTAAGTGCAGGCTGATGTGGAATAGGACAGAGCATCTCAGAAACTAAAAAACTTACATTGAGCCTGTTATTTTGCTTTTCATAAATTTGAAATGTGGGTGAATTTAACACCTACAAAAAATCAGAAAGTAGAATTGCCATCTTAACAATCTTGGAATGACTTCACTTCAGCTTTCTTTCACTGGTTCACAGTTTCTACTTACCAACTGCACTCGTTTTTAAACAAATTTATTCACTATATTTATACAACAGCACACTATTTATTGGATTATGGTTCTCCCTAGTCTTCCCCTGATATAGATTCCTAGTCATCTTGGCACAGAATAGGAACATTGTCAATTCTTGCCAGATTCTATGTCTCGTATCACTTTTGTTTACAACATGAACAGATTGAACATGTAAAGTAAAGATGTACTTACACATTAAAACAGAAGGAAAATACAGATTTCAATCTTTTTCGTGCATTTCAATGTTTCTTTACTTCAAAGAAATGCCAAAAATATCAGGATTTACTAAGAATGAGAATATTTTATTTACTTCAGCACACAGAAATGTATTGTTAAAAGAAATAAATCATGTAAAATCTGCACGCAAGTTTAAACATTTAAAAAAAAAAATTAAAAAGACCTATATTTTTGTTTTTTCAGAATTTCAAATAGGTTATCACAAGGAAATGATTTTTACATGGCTTTGTGGTCATCTGTATAATTTGGATGTTAAGAATTAGGGGAAGGGCCTCTTTTATCACAAGAATGTTTATATGAAAGAAAAATTGTTTGACTGCAGTGAGTATCTTTCTTCGTTTGTAATGTTTACATGATGTGTCAGTGTGTAACTTAATTTGAATCTCATGATGTTGACAATGAAATATATATGTCTTACGTAGCTTCTACTATATAGAATTCTTTTTCTCATTTAGCATTTTTTAAAACATTCCAATTTTGAAATTATTTTTTTGTTATTCTTTCTTCTTTTTTGCACATGGTTGCACAAGTGGGGTTTATTATGTTTGCTAATGCTTTAGTTTGATATTTTTATAATTTTTTTTCTACAGTTAATTTGCTCAATTTAGTTTCATAGATTGTCAATGCAGCTGTTATGACTTTGAAAACATTAAGTTGGATGTTACAAATAATAGTTTGCTGGATAGTCTTATAGTAATTGGTTCATCTAAGATTTAAATCAGAATATTTTAGAATATTCAATTGAAACATATACTGTATATAATAACTGTTATGAATGATTTTACATATTGAAATTTTAAGAAATGTCAGATTTGCATTTAAGTCTAATAGTTTTGAATTGGCTATGCACAAATAAAAGAAATCTGGAATAAATGCTGTTTGTGACAAAATTCATGAAATCTTATTATTTGCATGTAAATAATGCTCAAACATTTTGTTTTGTTTGCAATTTTTAATTATGACTTGAAAGTGAATGAGTTGTGATCAGATCTACACATGTAATAGAATTGTATTGATTGAAAGGTTTGTGTCATATGTTCAGTCATATTTGTGTATGACCAAAGGTCTAAAGACCAAAATAGTTGTCAGTGATTGTTGTGTAAATAGAGAGAAGTCTTTCATAGTATTGTTGGTTTCCTTTAAAAAGGTTATAGCAAGTTAATTTTGAGATGTCATCGTAATATACAGTTGTAATAATTTAATTTGTTCATTCTTTTGAATTATGTTCATCTGTGTACGTTTCGATCCATTTAACTTATATTTTATTTTAGGGTAGATATAGTATTTACATGAAAAGTACATTTCGCACCTTACAGTTAAAATGTCTTTCTTCTCAATGATAAACAAAGTGAATCTTTCATTGGTTTCATGATTTTTGCAGTGGAAACACTCCAATTTTACATATATTTTTCTGAAAGATGGATATTTACATTTAGGTTTCATTAAGACGTTTTGAAATCAAAATTGAAAATTAAACTCGGGTAAAATATACCGATAGAGTAACCTTGTTTTTTATGTTTTGTTGGAGTAATTTTGAATTAAATAGCCATTTGAAAATGGAAAACTTCTACATATCAGTAAATACTTTGTATTGCATTTTGCCATTTTATGCCATACTATATTTTTGTAGCTTCTTTTTTAAAAGTTATAATTTGGCATAAAAGCTTATATCATTACCTAAAGTACAGATTCACAAGGCTGATTACCTTTAAAAAATGTGATTTTTGTGATTTCTTCAATGAAATACTATATGGTGAGATAGTATGAAATAAAATAAAATAGTAAGAAAGCAGGTGTCAACTTTTCAAATGATAGAAGAGAGGTATCCTTCTGGTGAAGTTTTATAGGTTGGGTTGGGGTTTGTTGTTGTCAGACTGGAAAAAATCTTTTTTGAAGGATGTTATTGAATTAGAATTAATCACATTGTTTAAGTGTTGTTTTTGTGATCTTGTCAGTTTTTGATATACATAAAAAGGTATGTCCAATCCCAAATATACATATAGATTCTACCACTGTATCTTTGATACATTTTTGAAGTGGAGAGATATCCTATCTCAAGTTATGGTGATGGAATCTGTTGTTCTAATGATTTTTTGAAGATTTGTAGGCAAACTTTATCTTTCTATTTCAATGATCTTGTGTAGAAAGTTGGGGTTTTTTTTGGGGGGGATTGGGATTTATACATTGTATTGATTTTTGCTGTAGAATTATTCATATTTACTGAAAAAAATCATGTAATCACTTTAAATAAAGCCTGGAGAGTTGACACTTGTGAGTTGGTTAAATGACAAGAATTATGTTAAATGGAATGTGGGACAAGAATTATGTTTTGGTCATTGTGTGTAAATTTCTGTAACTTATAGTTAAACAATTTGTTGACTGAATAAATTCACAATTTTTTAAATAGATTCAGTTTGAAATCAATTTGTAAGAATGAAGATATGGGTTTCCTTTTACCTATTTTTATGCTGTGAATGCACAAATTTCATTTTTTAAATGAACAGTTGAGCTGTTTTGACACTTGTTACAAAATCTATAGTGACACTTTGTTACAGGAATGACAGTTTATATTCTGTACGGGTGCTATCATACGTTTTATCTTTTTCATAAATATATTAATAAATACATTTTTAACCATACAAGTTATACTTATGTTTTATGGGGCCATTTTTGGGACAGTATATCATGGATTTGAATAACAAGGAGGAGTCAGCTGCTACCACAATTTCTTTTTAGCTCACCTGACCCAAAGGGTCAAGTGAGCTTTTCTCATCACTTGGCGTCCGTCGTCCGTCGTCCGTAAACTTTTACAAAAATCTTCTCCTCTGAAACTACTGGGCCAAATGCACCCAAACTTAAACACAATCATCATTGGGGTATCTAGTTTAAAAAATGTGTCCGATGACCCCGCCAACCAACCAAGATGGCCGCCATGGCTAAAAATAGAACATAGGGGTAAAATGTAGATTTTGGCTTATATCTCTGAAACCAAAGCATTTAGAGTAAATCTGACAAAGGGTAAAACTGATTATCAGGTCAAGATCTATCTGCCCTGAAATTTTCAGACAAATCTGACAACCTGTTGTTGGGTTGCTGCCCCTGAATTGGTAATTTTAAGGAAATTTTGCAGTTTTTGGTTATTATCTTGAATATTATTATAGATAGAGATAAACTGTAAACAGCAATAATGTTCAGCAAAGTAAGATCTACAAATAAGTTGTCATGACCAAAATTGTCAGTCTACCCCTTTAGGAGTTATTGCCCTTAATAGTCAATTTTTAACAATTTTTCATAAATTTTTGTAATCTTTTACAAAAATCTTCTTCTCTGAAACTACTGATACAAATTTAACCATACTTGGCCATAATCATTATTAGGGTATCTTGTTTAAATAATTTGTCCGATGACCCCGCCTTCCAACCATCATGGCCAACTTAGTTAAAAATAGAACATAGGGGTAAAATGCAATTTTTATACGACCGCAAAAATTGAAAATTTTTTGGTCGTATATTGGTATGACGTTGGCGTCGTCGTCGTCGTCGTCGTCGTCGTCCGGCGTCGTCCGAAGACACATTGGTTTTCGCACTCTAACTTTAGTTTAAGTGAATGGATCTCCATGAAATTTTACCATAAGGTTCAATACCACGAAAGGAAGGTGGGGATTGTTTTTGGGGGTTATGGTACCAACAGTAAAGGAATTAGGGGCCAAAAAGGGGCCAAAAATAAGCATTTTTGTAACTTCCAGACAATAACTTGTGTGTAAGTGTATGGATCTCTCTGACATTGTACCACAAGGTTCCATATCACAAAGGGAAGGCTGTAATTGATTTTGGGGGTAATTGCCTCAAAATTTTAGGAATTAGGGGCCAAAAAAGGGGCAAAAAACAAGCATTTTTCTAGTTTCATGACAATAACTTGTGTGTAAGTGTTTGGATATTTCTGAAATTGTACTACAAGGTTCCATATCACAAAGGGAAAGCTGGAATTGAGTTTGGGGGTAATTGCCCGAAACGTTTAGGAATTGGGGGCCAAAAAGGGGCCAAAAATAAGCATTTTTCTAGTTTCCAGACAATAACTTGTGTTCAAGTGTATGGATCTCTCTGAAATTGTACTGCAAGGTACCATACCACAAAGGGAAGGCTGGGATTGAGTTTGGGGGTGATGAATCATAAGGGGGTTCAAAAAATTTGGGGGGGGGGGAATTTTTTTTTTTCTTTTTTTTTCTTTTTTTCCTTTTTTTTTTCTTTTAAAATTTTCCATTTAAAGTTGGTTATTTCTGATTAATATTTAAAAGCAAATAATAATGATATGGTAGGAGATACACACCAAACAGGATGTGTAAATTATTATATAATAAGTATTGTGCAATAGCAAGAAATTTTCAATTGCACAGTATTGCACAATTGCAAGAAATCTTCAATTGCACAGTATTGCGCAATAGCAAGAAATCTTCAATTGCACAGTATTGCGCAATAGCAAGAAATATCCAATAGCACAATATTGCGCAATAGCAAGAAATTGTCAATTGTACAGTATTGCACAATAGCAAGAAATATTCAATTGCACAGTATTGTGCAAAAGAAGATACTTCGTATAAATTGCTTATTTCTTGATCAATTTCAATGGGGTTTTATTCTTGAATTCTTGGGGTTCTTTAATATGCTGAATCTAACCGTGTATTAAGTTTTTGGATTTTGGGCCCCGTTTTTAAATTGGTCCACATTGAGGTCCAAAGGGTCCAAAATTTAACTTTGTTTGATTTCATCAAAAATTGAATTATTGGGGTTCTTTGATATGCCGAATCTAACCGTGTATTTAGATTCTTAATTTTTGGTTCCGTTTTCAAATTGGTCTACATTAAGGTCAAAAGGGTCCAAAATTAAACTTAGTTTGATTTTAACAAAAATTGAAATTTTAGGGTACTTTGATATGCTGAATCTAAACATGTATTTAGATTTTTGATTATGGGCCCAGTTTTCAAGTTGGTCCAAATCGGGGTCCAAAATTAAACTTTGTTTGATTTCAACAAAAATTGAATATATGGGGTTCTTTGATATGCTGAATCTAACCATGTATTTAGATTTTTGATTTTTGGGCCCCGTTATCAACTTTGTCCTTATTGAGGTCAAAAGGGTCCAAAATTAAACTTTGTTTGATTTTATCAAAAATTGAATTCTTGGGGTTCTTTGATATGCTGAATCTAACCATGTATTTAGATTTTTTATTTGTGGACCCGCTATCAAATTGGTTCATATTGAGGTCAAAAGGGTCCAAAATTAAACTTTGTTTGATTTCATCAAAAATTGAATTATTGGGGTTCTTTGATATGCCAAATCTAACCGTGTATTTAGATTTTTAATTTTGGGTCCCGTTTTTAAATTGGTCTACATTAAGGTCCAAAGGGTCCAAAATTAAACTTAGTTTGATTTTAACAAAAATTGAATTCTTGGGGTTCTTTGATATGCTGAATCTAAACATGTGTTTAGATTTTTGATTATGGGCCCAGTTTTCAAGTTGGTCCAAGTTGGGGTCCAAAATTAAACTTTGTTTGATTTCAACAAAAATTGAATATATGGGGTTCTTTGATATGCTGAATCTTACCATGTATTTAGATTTTTTATTTTGTGGGCCCGCTATCAAATTGGTTCATATTGAGGTCAAAAGGGTCCAAAATTAAACTTTGTTTGATTTCATCAAAAATTGAATTATTGGGGTTCTTTGATATGCCAAATCTAACCGTGTTTTTAGATTTTTAATTTTGGGTCCCGTTTTTTAAATTGGTTTACATTAAGGTCCAAAGGGTCCAAAATTAAACTTAGTTTGATTTTAACAAAAATTGAATTCTTGGGGTACTTTGATATGCTGAATCTAAACATGTGTTTAGATTTTTGATTATGGGACCAGTTTTCAAGTTTGTTCAAGTTGGGGTCCAAAATTAAACTTTGTTTGATTTCAACAAAAATTGAATATATGGGGTTCTTTGATATGCTGAATCTAACCATGTATTTTGATTTTTTGACATTGGACCATAATAGGTAAATTAAAAAAATTGAAGTTCTTAGACCACATTCTTTCTGTGTCAGAACCTATGCTGTGTCAAATATTTAATCACAATCCAAATTCAGAGCTGTATCAAGCTTGAATGTTGTGTCCATACTTGCCCCAACTGTTCAGGGTTCGACCTCTGCGGTCGTATCAAGCTGCGCCCAGCGAAGCATTTTATTGGTTTATATCTCTGAAACTAAAGCATTTAGAGCAAATCTGACAGGTGGCAAAAATGTTCATCAGATTTAGATTTATCTGCCCTGAAATTTTCAGACAAATCCCACAACCCGTTGTTGGGTTGCTGCCCCTGAGTTAGTAATTTTACAAAAATTTTGCAGTTTTTATACGACCGCAAAAAAATGTTTGTGGTCGTATATTGGTATGACGTTGGCGGCGTCGTCGTCTGGCGTCGTCCGAAGACACATTGGTTTTCACACTCTAACTTTAGTTTAAGTGAATGGATCTCTATGAAATTTTACCACAAGGTTCAATACCACAAAAGGAAGGTTGGGATTGATTTTGGGGGTTATAGTAAAGGAATTAGGGGCCAATAAGGGGCCAAAAATAAGCATTTTTGTAATTTCCAGACATATCTTATGTGTTAGTGTATGGATCTCTCTGACATTGTACCACAAGGTTCCATATCACAAAAGGAATGCTGGGATTGATTTTAGGGGTAATTGCCTCAAAATTTTAGGAATTAGGGGCCAAAAAAGGGGCAAAAAACAAGCATTTTTCTAGTTTCAGGACAATAACTTGTGTGTAAGTGTATGGATCTTTCTGAAATTGTACTACAAGGTTCCATATCACAAAGGGAAAGCTGGAATTGAGTTTGGGGGTAATTGCCGAAACGTTTAGGAATTGGGGGCCAAAAATAAGCATTTTTCTAGTTTCCAGACAATAACTTGTGTTCAAGTGTATGGATCTCTCTGAAATTGTACTGCAAGGTACCATACCACAAAGGGAAGGCTGGGATTGATGATGGGGGTAATTGCCTCAATATTTTAGGAATTAGGGGCCAAAAAGGGGCAAAAAACAAGCATTTTTCTAGTTTCAGGACAATAACTTGTGTGTAAGTGTATGGATCTTTATGAAATTGTACTACAAGGTTCCATATCACAAAGGGAAAGCTGGGTTTGAGTTTGGGGGTAATTGCCCTAAACGTTTAGGAATTTGGGGCCAAAAAGGGCCCAAAAAACACATTTTCTAGTTTCCAGACAATAACTTGTGTTCAAGTGTATGGATCCCTCTGAAATTGTACTGCAAGGTACCATACCACAAAGGGAAGGCTGGGATTGAGTTTGGGGTTGATGAATCATAAGGGGGTTCAAAAAATTTTGGGGGGGGGGGATTTTTTTTTTTTCATTTTTTTTTTTTTTTCCTTTTTTTTTTCTTTTAAAATTTTCCTTTTAAGTTGGTTATTTCTGATTTATATTTAAAAGCAAATAATAATGATATGGTAGGAGATACACACCAAACAGGATGTGTTAATTATAATATAGTAAGTATTGTGCAATAGCAAGAAATTTTCAATTGCACAGTATTGCACAATAGCAAGAAATCTTCAATTGCACAGTATTGCGCAATAGCAAGAAAT